TATTACAAAGTAGTAACAGAGTCCCTGGGGAGAAGGAACCCATTCAATACTAACAGAGAATCAGTTCCACCTGACTACAAACTAAGGCCAAGACCAGAGAAGGGCCAGGAACCCGGACTAGAGGTGGCAGGTGGTTTTCAGTGGCTCCGGTTAGTGGTTCGGAAGCTCCTCTACGGCACTCTAGGGCTCAGCAGGGGTCAATCATGGCTCCTGAGGTTTCAAATCAGGAGAGGGAGCCTAGAACAGGGGTTAGCAAACTTCTGGAAGGCCAGGGAGCAAATTCTGAGGCTCTGAGACCCACAGGCCTCGCAATCGCTCAAGAAGAGCTATAGACGAGCGTGACTGTGTTCCACTGAGACTTTATTTACAAAAGTGGTGGGGCCCGACTCGGTCTGCAGGCCCTGGTGTGCTGACCCTTGGGCTAGAAGGGGATGTATCTGTCTGACCCCGAGTGACTGATAGACACAAAAACAAAAGAAATCGAGTTAGGTGTGAGGACTCAGGGGTCCCCAACCTCTGGACAATGGATGGTACCAGTCTGGGCCTATTAGGAACCCAGCCAAGCAGCAGGAGATGAGCTTGAATGAACTGCTCTTGAATCACCCCCAAACCACCCCCCACCACCCCCGGGGGTCCATGGAAAAACTGTCTTCCACAAAACCGGTCCCTGGTGCCCAAGAAAGTTGGAGACCAGGAATGACATTTCCTGGTCTCCCTACCAGTAGTGTGATCGTGTAAGACACTAACATTGGGGAATCTAAGTGAATCATCTACAGACTTAACTACTTTGAAACAATTACGAACACAAAAAGTTGAGACACAGTAGAGGTCACGCGGACCCATCGCCTTGCTTTCCTCAGTGGCAACGCCTTAAACATTGCAGTGCGTGACCCAAAACAGGAACTGACCCACAAACCAGACAGAGGTCTCGCCGGTTTCGGGGGGCATTCTTTTGGGTTTCTGTACGGACCTGACCATTTGCCACCCCTGGAGATCCACAATCAATCCCTGAACCGTTCAGTCACCATGCACACCTCCCTCCTGCTGCACTTTTAGTCACGTCCAACCTCCTCCCGGCTGTCCCCACCCCTGCACAACTCTGATCTGTTCTACCGCTACTGTCGCTCCGAGAGCCACTCGCTGCAGACCTTCTGGGGATGGCTCTGTCACTCAGCACAGTGCCCGCGAGCACTGGGCAGGCTGCTGTGGGGACACACAGCCGCCTCACTGCCGGGGGGCATCCCCTGGCATGAACCTGCCAGTGTGTTGAACACTCACCCCTCAAGAGACATCTGGGCTGATTCCAGTTTTTGACAATTAAGGATAAAGCGGTAAAATGTGAATATGGGTTTCTGAGTGAAAATGAGTTCTCCAGAAGAAATGCCCCAGAGAGCGGTGTGGGTTCAATTCTCCGAGAAACTGCCTGTTTTCAGAGTGGTCGCACCATTAAGGTTTCCACCAGCTGTAACGAGACCCTGTTTCTCAGCGTTTGGAATATTTGCTTTTTTTTTTTTTTTCTTTTAGCCGTTCTAATGGAGTACAGTGATACCCCACCGTGCATTTATTTGTGTTTGGCCAGTGGCTGGTGGTGCTGAACATCTTCTTCCACACGTTTCTTTGCTTTGTACTATTTCTGTTCATTTCTTAGAAACCTAAAATCATTTCAAAATGACAAGCGAAAAACTTAAAAGAAACTGGAATACAAAGAAACACCGAGCCTCAGCCCTCCCCCCGACCCTGTGTCTGGGAGGCTTTCAGGCCCGGGCCCTGTCCCGATCGCGTAACTGGGCGGAACAGCGCGCGGCTGAAGGTGCCGCCGAAAGCTTAGTTAAAGGGCGAGCGCAGGCGGCCGGCGGCCGGCGACGCGACAGCACGTAGGGCGGGCTGGACCCGGCGTCCGCAGACGACGTCCCGGCTGGGATCGGCCCACCACCGCGGTCGTCCCCACGGAGCCCGCCTTCTCGGGGCTGCTTTCTCAACCGCGAGGCGTCATCCCAAGGACACCCTCAGCCCCGAAGTTCCGAAGCGAAATTTCGCTTTCTGTTAAAAAACTTCACCCTTCCACAGGAGCACTCGAGAGACATGAAACGCGGGCCAGGGAACTGAGGACGCGAGAACGAGGCGGGTGCGGGAGGCGGAGAGGGCGCAGACCGCGTGCGGACACGGGTGGGCACCAGACCAAGGGAAGCCCAGACAAAGGACGCCAGGGGGCTCCCCGGCAACGAGATTCGGACGGGCCGAGAGGCCGACGAAACGGTCCGCAGACGCGGGGCGGGCGTCCGGCCTCAGCGCCGGGCCGTCGTCTGCACCGTAAGGACCTCGGAGTGCTACTCCCGGGCTTTTCCCAGAACAGCACCCCCAGGTCGGGGTGGGGTCCGTCCAGGAGGCGGGGAACCGAGGGGCCTTACCTGGGTCGGGGGCCGGGTCCACCATCGCGTGCGGTGGCGGGGCGGGAGACGCGTTCTGGCCCAGGCCCCACGGCCGCCTCTCCAGCCGCCACACCAGCCAGCGAACTGCGAGCAGCAGCACCGAAGCGCCCAGCAGCTCCCAGGCCAGCGCTGCCCACTCGGTGGCCACCAGCCGCTGCCACAGCATCGCCACCGCCCTCCTCTCCGCCGCGGCTGCCGCCACCGAGGAGACCCGCGCCCCTCAGGACCCCGCGTCTCGGGCTGCCCACGCCGCCGCCTGACGGCGCCGCCGCTCCCGGGGTCGGCTGGCGGGGGGCCGCGGCTACGCTCACAGGCCAGGGCGCTCCCACCAGCTTCCGGCGACCCAGCGAGGGAAGTGCGACTGCGGCCCCCCGCTGATGGCACCGGGCGGGCGAGGGCACGCGGCCAGGCGTGGCACGGGCAGCCCCGGACGCGGGGTCCTGAGACGGGCGGGGACGGGGGGCGTGGCCCAGGCGGGGGCGTGGCCCAGGCGGGGGCGTGGCCCGGCGGCGGAGCCCTGCTGCTCCTCTCCCCACAGCGCCTTTTCCTCGGCTTGGTCGACTGAAGCGCTTTGCGAGCAGAAGGGGCCGGAGACTTCCCTCCAGCGGCCGCGCGCCTCCGCCTCTGGAGGACGTTTCCCGTTAGCGGCGCGGCCGGCTCCACCCTCCCCTTCTCAGCCCGTCAGTGCGTCTCCTGACCTGAGTGCGGCGGGCTCCCCCAGGGAGCGGGAGAGCCGCCCGTTTCACCCAGAACTCTCATCTGGTTCATCCCTCTTGGTCAGAAGTGAAGTATGAAAGGGGTGAAACCGGGGTCCTCAAAACTGAGACTCAGGCCCGCTGCCGTAGGCAGGGCCAAGGGCTGGCCAACGACACGCCGGTGCCGACGGGCGCGCGGCCTGGGAGGGGTGCCGCCCTCTCCGCTCCGCTCCGCTCCTCGGAGCATCCCTGGCTGTGCAAACTCCCCTCCAGGTACCGGCCGCAGGTGGCAGGTACCGGCGACGCGGGGCCGGAGGGGGAACCCGGGGAAGCGGTTGTGAGCTGGGTTTCACAGCCCACCCGAGACTTGGGCAAACAACACCTTCGTTCGAGAGTGGACAGCGTGTGCGACTGCATGAGGCGAGTTACCCCCAAACATGGCGCTTCCTCTCTCTCTGTATGAACCCCAATGAAATATGAAAATCTGTAACAAAAAATAGTTTATTGCACAGATTTTAAAGAATTCCCAAGCACGCTGAAATTTATAAAAAGAAAAAATTAACATGCTTTTTAAAGTTACAATTTGCTGTGCATGGTGACACCTTCCCCCTGAACTGCCCCCACCTGGGGAGTCTGTTTCATGAGGAAATGTCTCACCGAAGGAAGTGGCTACGCGCCTCTCGCGCTTTCCAGCCTCTCCCAGACAGTGCCCGGGACCCTGCTGCGGCCCGAGCCCACCCCACAGGAGACTCGCCTGGGGCGCGCTCCCTGGGCATGTGTGAACAAGGCTGAGGGTCCCACACGCCCCAGTGCCGTCCACGTCGCGGGGGGCTCTCAGGAAGGGGCATTTCCCTTCAGACACGCTGGTCCCCGTCGCTGCCAGAAATAGTCACACACCACACTTTTGTTAAAGGAACACGCACGAAGCAGGAACGAATGTCACAATGACTCTGCAGTAGCCCCAGACCAAGGAAGGCCTAAGCCGCGAGGGGCTGCGTGAGACCCCCCAGTGCCGTGGCCCCGGGCCGGCTTCCCGGTGGGCGCTGCTGTCCAGACCCGGGGACAGGAAGGGCACGTTTCACACCCCAAGGGAAACTGACGCTCCAGATGCGGGGTGGGGCAAAAGCGGGGTTACAGCCGTGAGCACAGGAAACAGAGGTGACTCTTGTGTTCGTACTGTGTTAGTCTGCACTCGAGCAACTGCAAACCCCCTTTCGCCCCACCCTGGAGAACAAAACCGACCCGATCTGTGGCATCTGCCTGATACATGTCGTGGAGAAATCAGGGACAATCTCATTGCAGTATTTTTTGCAACCCAAGAGAAACAAGTAATGACATCTTAAGGTGTCCGAGCCCCCGTTCTCTGGGTGAGGGCATGACGGCGCACTCACACACAGGACGAAAGAGACACACCAGTGCAACGCCACGGGGAGCCCGTCCTTCCCGATGCTCCAGGCACGACTGCTGGTGTTCACGAGGAGGTTCCTAATTCCCACTTGTCCCCACACAGAATGTTGCACACGTCGGGAGGTAGAAGTGACAGCAGAGTCCCATGGAGATAAGAAAGCTGGAGCCCCCAGAAGACACCACATGAGCTCTTGAATCCCAGCCCAAGGGTGGCTGGGCGCTGGCTGGACTGGAGGGTGGGAACTGCGGATGAAGGTGGCACAGGGCAAGGCCAAGGAGCCAGACAGCACACGTGCACACGGACCAGGGAAGGGGCTGAGGACAGAGCGGCTTCCCCTTGCTGGACGCACTCAGGGGTCGTGTTTCCTCAGGGAAAGGACACAGGGATGACTGGCAGGCCTTCCACGGCATCTGGGGCTGAGTGCCATTTCTTGGTTTTAAAATTAAAACAAGGGTAATGCAGCCAAAATAAATAAGAACATAAATTATCATCTTTCTCTTCTGATGGTACAAAAACATTTTTTTCAAAAATGATTTTCAACTATTATGGAAAGCAGAATACATTTATAATGAGTTTTCAAGTATTGTTTCAAGATTGACCCTGTACAAATGAGACACGTGTTTAGAAGTCTCAATACTTGCCGGGGAACCTTTTTTAAACAACAAACATCTTTGTGTTAATACAACTTTATCAATGAACCTTCTGACAGCATATTATAAGAGAGCACAGCTCAAAAATACCCTTTTCTCCACAGAGGAGATTCAAGGTGCACACACGTCACCCCACCTTCAGAGCAGCAGATCTGCACAGGATGCACGTGCACCCACCTCGCGCTGTTCTCCAACTTGTTACAATAACTATTTTAGGTTTTCTTAGCTAACTTGGGGACAAGCTTACAGCCCTCCAGTACCACAGTCTTTCCGTTTTTGCCGGTGTGCTTCAGGTGGGACATGTGTACAGGCAAACCTCACGCACTCGTGGTACCTGGTTTCAAACAGGGCTTTTCCACGTTGGGTGAGCATGGGGACCTCACCACCTTTCCCCTCGGGGCAACCTGCCTCTTCCAGGAACCTCACTGCACTCCAGATAAGATGTTAAAGCACTGTGGACCTCCTGATGGCCGTCACCACCGAGTCCAGCACATCTCCGATGACCACAGGTCCTGGTGCTCACTGCCACCCAGAGCACAGAAGGTGCAGCCTGGAGAAGCCATGTTACCTGGGCTAGAGCCCCACCTACCCACCTGACCTGTGCCTCTCTCCAGACCTCACACGTCAGGTCAGCTTGTGGGGACCACAGCATCCTTTTGGGTGCCCCTGGTGACCGCAGGGCCTGTCTGGGCGGTGACCAAGGCGAGGCCAAGCAGGGTTGGGTTGGAGAGGTGGACATCGTGCACTTGTACCAAGGAAAAAGACACTCAAAAATAAAGTGAAACAAAAACTAGAAAGAATGCTCTTTGTCTAAGAATATTTGGTTTTAGAAGGTAAATAAAATAATTACGTTTCTTAAAATATAATTTTCTGACATCCCTTAATCCTACATGTACATTATTTCCTAACAGCAGATTTTCAAAAGGCAATCAAAAAGCAGACAATTTAGGTCATTTTTAAATAATATGAGGACATACTTTTTAAAGATTAGGTTATAATTCTCAGTATTTACATACACGTCCTATGGTGGGATGGCTAGGAAAAAATAAAATAAAATAAAAACCAAAGGTGCAAATAGAGTTTCACTTCCGTGGGAGGTGAAGCTTGCAGTGGGTCCCACAGGGAGTGAGGCAGTGAACCCACGACCAGGTTCCCCAGGACCAGCGGCTGCAAAGCCACGTTTATGTCACTCGTGAGGTTTCGCTTCCCACACGTAACCCTCAGAGACCTTCCAACACTGTCACCAAAAGCTCACCTAGGATTTTAAGGTTTGGTCACTTTGTGGGAAGCTGGCTATGATCCGCTCCGTTATTTCACCCCTTGTAAAGGCAAACACAAAACTTAAAACTCCATCGCTGAAAGAAACAGCTCAGTCAGACACATGACCTTGTGAGGGACTGTCCGACAGTTACACACACTCGGGATGGGGATGCTCCGTGGTCGCCATTCCCAGCCCCTCTGTGGGAGCCCTGCTGGGACCCGGTGGCTCTGTGTCTCCTCCGGGGTTGGCATGGGCACCTGGGGAAGTGGGGCTGGCGGCGAGGTCCCCTGGAGTCCACGAGGACAGTGACTCGTGCACAGTGAATGCGTGTGCCTCCATCTGGCGCTGCAGGCTGTCCATCTCCTGCCTGGGGACACAGGGAGCAAAGGTGGGAAGGCCAGTCAGAGACAAGCCAGGGTGCCACTGCTTCCCCATGATGGATGTGGGGCCTAACGGGCGTCAGCTGGATGGCCATTCGCTCACACATCTCGGGCACCTTCAGGGACCAAAGGAGCCTCTCTATTTACACCAGCAGCAGCAATGGGGGACACAGAACTTAAGGGGCTCTCGACACTGTTCTTGGTGCCGTGTAGAGACCAACAGACCATGAGGCTCCACACACAGTCTTCTGTTCAGGGATGTGAGGAAGATGGAGCCAAGAGACTCACACGCAGCCTCCCTCACAGGGTCCAAAAAAGAGGTCCCCACCAGGCCATGCACTCTGTACATCAGCCTCATGCCAACGGAGTTGAAGGGCTCAGGACCTGGTAATTTAGGGCTTCTCAGGGTTATTTAGCTGCAGGCAACTATCACCTTACAATGTGACCACACTTAACAGAGACCTGCTCAGCCCCAGCTGGGTATTCAGTGCTGCAACAGGGACTCGGCCAAGCTCAACATGTGACTCAGAAGCTAAGCAACATGAGACAGAGCCCCTCGTACTTCAGTTGCTGGAGGCAGCTGTTGAGGTTCCTCAGGGGCTCCTTGCTCACGGCGGGAGGGGGCCTCAGCAGTTCCTCCAGCAGCGAGGCTGGGACCGGGCAGTCAGGGACCTTCACTGGCGTCACAGGGCTGGAAGGGCTGGCCTCGCCTCTCCGTTCCTTCCTCTGTTCATAAAAGCATATAATTAGGTGTCTGCTGCCCACCCCGTTGTCTCCGCTCCACACGGCCCTGGGAAGGTATGTGAAGTGGTCTGCACCCACTGAGCTGGCAGCCACAGGGGCTCAAGAAACGCTGGCCGAAGAGAACACCTCCCTGCTGCACACAACAGACACACACAGTCCTGGATCCTCAGGACAAAGCCAAGCCCTAAATGTGAGCTCCCACACAGGACTCTCCACGAGAGATCACAGCCCTGACTCTGAGTTTCCCTAAGAAATTAAGTCAATTTTCCAACTCAGATGACTCCCCTTTCTAACACTTCAAATTAAGACTTTGCACAGATATATGCTGATGCTACTGAAACCCTGAATCTGTGCCACTTCTCTGACCAGGAAACCATGAATGCATGCTCACGTGAGTACGTCTCTGAGAAGAAACAAATGCTAGGCACGCAGACAATCCGAGAGGGACCTGTGACCACAGCCTCGGGGTCCTGGGGTTTCAGGGCCCAAGCTGGTCTCAGCTGGGTGCACCAAGGGACGAGGGATTTTAACACAGCAAACCATGACCTCACTTGGTTTATAATGCCCAGTCAACAACATGATAACTGAACTCATAAATAGAAGCAAACATTTTGCTGGAAGTCACCAAAATAAATACTAGGACTATTGTCCAAGCAGAATTCTCCACATTTCACACAGGGGCTGCTGAATGTGGAGTCAAATACAGTTTTATGTCTGAGATCCACCACCCCACCCCCAGCCCCCGGCCACCTCCCCGCAAAGGCCTGCAGTTCCCATTCCTGCCGCCAGAGCCCGCTCACCGTCTTGGCTGCGCCGCGTCGCAGGTCCAACTTAAGCTGCTGGTTCTGCTGCAGCAGAGTTTTCATGTTGTTCTTCAGCTCCGACACTTTGGCCTGAAGCACAAACTTGTCTTTCTGGGTCTTGGACAGGTCCTCCTGCACTATCTCCAGCTCAGACTTGATGTTCTAAGGGAAGTCAAGTCACAGAGTTTTCACAGTTGAAAGATCTGAAATGCTGCCAAGGTGTCTGCGTGTCATGAGTCTAAGGAGACACAGCAAGGTGCTGACTGTCGTAGGTGCCCCTGCCTGGCTTCAGGTCCTCCCGGCAGGCCAGCCTGTGATGCTGGCAGCTCCATTTACATCCCGCATGCCCTCACCCCTCACTGCTGCCCTGACCACACCCACAACGAGCCAAAGTCCCCAGCGCGCATCCCATGCCCAGCTCCTGAGAAAGAGTGAAAGTCGGTCCTGGTGGCCAGTAGAGCTGCTACAGGCAAGTCATGCTCCCAAACCCTCTGCAGTCAGGACCACCCCAGGCACCATCGTGTCGATGTGTCACATGTGCTGTGTCACTCATTGCTGCATTTCGCAGCAAAGCCCAGGTGTGGTACCAAGGTCTGGTGTCCTTGGCCTTCACCCGCTGCATGACCCGGACATGTCCATGAAATGGGGTAATGTGGTCTCACAGTCATCGCTGATGTGGTGGGAGCAGTGACTGCCCATGTCCTGGCTGTCTGAGGCGAAATCTGCCCGATGACCCCCGGCTGTGCTCCCAGTACCTGCAGAGACTGCTCAGCCCCATCCAGCTCCCGCCTGCTCTGCTGCTCAGTCAGGTCCAGCTGCTGCTTCAGGGCCTGGATTTCTCTCTCCTTCTGATCCACCTCCCACTTGAGGTTTTCCATCTACAGGAGGGGGAAAAATCACATGAGCAAAAGAATTTCACAGTGGCTTTCTTGCACAAGAAGTACTCCATGTCTGTGTCTTATTTAACATCACACTTAGAGACACATGACTGTCCTGAGCCTGCAGGCAGGGAAGCAGCAGAGTCCAGCCATACAGGTCCTGTCACCAAAAGCAGAGCTGCCCTGCCTACCTCCTGGTTTCCTGCGGGCTGTCTGCTCAGCTGCTCATCCAGCTGCTTCTGCAGCAGCTGCAACTGCGTCCGCGCCTCTGCCAGCTCTGCCTGGAACTGTGCGACTTCCTGGGCACGTGTGCCCTCCTGACGCCTGGCACAGAGAACACGGCAGATGCAATGACAGCGTGCAGCCCACCTGACCCCTCAGCCCAAATGTGTCAGCTCTGTGTGACCAGTCCTGAGGGGTGGGGGCTCGTGTGCTGCTCACTCTGGGCAGGGACCCTCTAGGGGTGGTTGATGAACTGTCTCGACTGAGCCTCACAAGCCCCCTGGGGTTATGGTAGTGGGGAGAGTTTCACAGGGACCTGAACACATACAACTCAAGGCTGCCCTTGTCGGAGCTGACAGTGAGCCTCAGAGGTGGGCATAGTCCTCAGAGGGTACGGCAGCATGGCGACTATAACATGGGGGTTAAGCATAGACTTCTTGAGACAGACTAGACATCTTCTCCTTCCCAGGCCTGCTCACACGGTGACCTCAGAGAGTGCAATGTACTAGGTGGACTTGGGGCAGAGCCCCGGTGGGGACCCTGTGGCAGTTGGCCCTCTGCCCGTGGACACTTACTGGAGACAGTCGGCCTCTGCCTGCAGTGTCTGCACCAGGAGCTCCTTGGCCTGCAGCTCCTTCTTCACCTCGCTCAGCTCCAAGGTGGCGGCCTTGAAGTGGCGGCGGTTGTGCCCTGCTTCCGCTTTGGCCGCAGCCACCTGGAAGGACACTGGCCTCAGCAGAGTTCAAGGCAAAAGCAGTATCCCCTCTGCCCTCACTTGTCCTAATGGGCACCAGGGCTCTCCTGACCCCACTGTCACCCAGCCCTGATGCCACCTCTGTGCTTGGGACACGTCAGAAAAGGCACTGGTACGTTAAGTTCCTGGAGGGAATGGCTGTGTCAAGGGGCCCATGCTCAGTTTTAGACACTGAAAACGCGCCCTGTAAAGGCTGCACGTGGCTGCACGGTGGATGTGTCGGAGGGTGGCCACACACCTGTTCCCTGAGGCTGTGCACTTCCAGCTTTTCTCTCTCCAGGGCGGCTTGTAAGGTCTGCACCAAGTGCCTCATCTGGCGGTCCTCCTCCTGTTTGCACTGCATGATGGCCTGCACCTGCAGCGCGGCACCAAGGGGACCAGTCAGGAAGGACCTCCATGCCACAGCCTATAGAGCCCAGGACAGAGCATAGGCCACCGTAATCGGTGCCACATGGGAGACCAGGGCCAAACAGAAACCAGTGAGTTCTCTGATGGCTGGAAAATCCAAGGCTGTTGATGGCCACAGGAGGACACCCCTGAAATACCCAGCTCCCCCGAACTCCAGAAGCTTTGGAGCCCTGAACCGAGAACAGGGTCTGGAGCAAGACCCCTGCTGGTCCCTTACAGACAAGCAACTGCCTTGACATAGTGAGGGTCCACCCTGGCCCAGCAGGAGTTGCCCACCCCAAGCCCTCCCAGGACTCAGTGACGGGACAGTTCGGGGCCTATGTGCACATGTGAGGAGGGTGTCACACTCCCCCTGCAGGAGCAGCAACGACTAAGCCTGATACCTGGAGGTTCAGCTCCACAAGGTCGGCCTCCCTCTTGGCCAGCGCTGTCTCCAACACGCTGTTGTGCTCCCGCAAAGCCGCGTTGGACTGGCCGAGGCCCGTGAGCTTCCCTCGCTCGTGCTCCAACTCCAGAGCTAACTTCTTTTTTGACTCCTCAAGGTGCTTTATCTTCCTCCTAAAGCCCCTGGATTCCTGAAGCTGAAACAAGTCCCAGTCATGTTATAGAGTCATGCGTTCTGGTCAGGGGAGCTGTGACCCACTGGGAACAGAACAGCCAACATAAAACACAGTGACAGGTACCCAGGGCCTGACTGACAGTCCCATTCGATCTTTAAACGTCCAGCCCACCTGAGCTGCGCCCTCTGGAATTTGCAACGAGAGCATCACAAGCAGGAGCATGGCTGCCACGAGGCCTCTGACGCCCCCCACATGGGTGGCAGCGGACATGTCCTGCTAGCTGCTATTGTTACCGTGCATGGGGTTGGGGGAGTCTACACTTGGGCAGTCAAAGATCCAGAAACATGGTCGGACGGGTGTGGAGTGCAGAGCAGTCAGGTTCGGCACACAGGCCAGCCAGGCTGATGCTCCAGGGTCCTTCATCTCTGCACCAGGGCCGCAGTGGAGCAGTGTGGCCCATATACTCTGCCGCGTGACCACGAGCTCACTTACCTCGTCCTCCAGCTCCAGCACCTTCTCCCTGTACTCCTCCAGCTCCTGGCTAGTCAGCGCGATGACCTCCTGCAGCTCCTTTTCCAGCATCACCTTGCTGTGGCCCACAGTCTGCAGCTCCAACTCCAGGGTCTGGATTCTCTCCTAACAGCAGGACAGGAAGGTGGACAGAGTCGTGGGCTTCAGTATGGCCGTGGAACGTGCTGACCTCCCTCCTATGTAGCCCTGCGTCACCTGACCCGAGAGGCTGCTGACCACACTGACAGCAGGACGTAACTAACCACTGTACACACACACGGGCACACATACACGTGCATACACACTCTTACTGCCGCTGTGGTGTAGGTGCTGTTCATGCTTGTCTCTCCACTGAGCCTCCTAATGAGGGGTCTGACTGTCTACTCAGACTCAGGAAGGTGAATGACCTGCCCAGAACCCACTTTCTGCGTGTGGCTTTCAGGCTGAGCTCCTACAGCAAGCGGAGGGTGGAGTCTACAGGCTTTGTGCCTTCCCACCTACCACATAAGCCAAGAAATGAAAAAACCAGACATGTTTTACAGTGGAAGGGAAATTGTAATTGAATAAATTTTCCCCGATGATAAGTGTAGGTGATTGTAGAAACAAACTTCACGTGAGAATGCAATGACTAAATGGAAGTGAGATACCTTAAATTGGAGAGTAATACATAGAGTGTGAACTAACTTACTCAGGCAGACTTACTCTGAGTAGCAAAAGTGAAAAACGGTCAGGCCCAAAGCTGGCAGGGGTCCCCGGCAAGTCTGAGAGGCTTCATGTCATACATTCAGCCCTGCCCACCCACTCCCCAGTGGGAGCTCCCGCCTGCCACCGTCCTCCATTCCGCTCAGGGATGCCAGCCAACCATGACCTTGAAAATAATCTACACGCCAAAGGCTTTGGGCTCACAGCACGGACCTCCTTCCCCAGTTCCTCCAGGATAAGGCCCCCCATCAGCAGAGCCGCCTGCCACCACCTGCACCTGGATGTGGGCGCATGCTAGCATGGACCTGAGCGTCCCGTTTTCCCGTTCTCTCCCTGTCACAGCCTCCCCTGGAACCACCATCCCTCCACAAGAGAGTCGCAGGTCTCACCCTACCTGACCTCAGTCTGCTCAACACACACCGACCCCTTCACATCACACAGGCCCATCCTCTGCTGAGACACCAAGCTGTCCGCCCTAACACCTTGGTTACTCAAGTACTACCTCCTCCGAAAGATTTTCTTGATTGTCCCACAGGCGCTGGAACCCTCACCAGCCCCCACTCACACTGCTCACACAAATGCTCCCCAGACACTGAAGGGGCAAGAAGGAGCCAGTGTGGCGAGCACACGGTGGGCCGTGCCTGACGACTGAGTGTCCAGTGTCCGAGCAGACCCCACAGGCCCACAGGGGCTAAGGGAGAGGACCTGCATGCAGCTCCCACCCCTGGCCACATCGACATGGTGTTGAATTTTAGAGAGCTGCTGCCCACACACTCACTCCGCCCCCTCAGAGGGGTCTGTGAGGGTTTCAGGGGAAATGCTCACATCCCCTCACACCCCTACCCTGGGCGCCCACGACGGGCTGAAGCAGACGCAGTACCCACATGCAGTGTGCGGCCACTGGGGCCGCCGGCCTCCTGGGCTCTCAGCTGGCCGAGCTCGGCCTCAGCTGCCTCCTTGGCCGTGAGGGCCTCCTGCAGGCGGCGGCTGAGGATGCTCACAGCGCTCTCGTAGGCCTTGTGCTTGCTCTTCATCTCCTTCTGAGCACTGCTCAGGTCCGAGCCCAGACGCATCACCCTCTGCTTCTGCTCGGTGATGGCCCTGGGGCATGTCAGAGGAGACAACAGGCTATCTTAAGTCCCCCATACCTGCCCCCAGCTCCACCTCTCCTGATCCTGCACCCCCAGATCCAAGACCCGTGGATGTGGCCGGTGTTGGCAGCCCCCCAGTGCCCAGCACTGTGCTCAGACCCACCCGGCCCCTCCTGGAGCTGTTCACAGGCTCCTAACCAACCAAACAATGAACCTGACCACAGGGTCATGAGTAAATCACGGCTGATAGCAGCGCCGGTGTGCATGTGTGGGATGTGTTGGGGCAGGGCCGGGGTGGGGCTGGCATCCACCAAGAGCAAGACACACAACCCCAATGGAAATACAAACAGAAAGGGCGAGGCCCCGACTCACCTGGCGGCTCCCTGGTGCAGCTCCTCAATTTGTGACTTGAGCGCTTCATTTGCCTCCGTCAGCACAGCCACCTGCTGCTTTTCAAACTGCAGAGACTTCAAAGGAGGGAGGAGGAACCAGTGAGAGCAAAGCCCCATGTGCCTCGGCAGCCTGATTCTGGACGAACCCCAGGCACGCGGTCCCGTTTCAGGGCCGCCTCCAGCACGTGGGCTTTGAAGGTCCCGAGAGAGAGCTTTGCCCTTTTATGAGGGACCGTGTCAGAGAGGTCAGGTGCCCCTGCTGTCTGTGTCATGGCGATGGAGGGAACACTGGGAAGGGGCCCCCTCCCCCTGGGCTCCCCAGCACCCATGGGAGCGAATGTGAACCAATTTGGGAGGCTCAGCCTACCCCTAGCCCCTCTTGCTGCCCTGAGCACGTCTGTGACATGACTCACACCGAGGCCCCCGCTCCAGTAGCTCCACCTGCACACTCACAGCTCTAATGCTGTCTCTTCCCGAAACTCTTAGCTTGCGGCCCCCAGTCAGTCTGCCCAACCTGCACCCTGCCTGGCCCTCTCCTGAGACTTCAAAGACCTCACACACCAAACAGCCTTGGTTTGACGTGTATGCGCATGTGTCATTTCAGGAACACCCCTCAGTCCCAACAGGGCCCTGGACTGAGGTCTCGCTCTCCCTGCCCTCTCAGGCACCCTCAGCCCCCGCAGCACAGCCACCTACACCAGCTCCTGCTCGCACCCTGGCCTACCCTTGGCCACAAGACCTGCACAGGTGCACCTCCACCCTGCTGGCCCTCCACACCGCTCACCAGCTCCCACTCCCAGAGGCTGCAGCACCTGCTACAGCCTGGTGCTCCCTGCTGTCCCTCAAACCCAGGTCGCCCTTGGGTCTCCCCACAGTGCCGACTCTCTTCCTGCACTCAAATCCATGTCACCTGCCGGCAGGTACCTGTCGCCCTCACTGCTGTATGCCCCCCTGCCCAGCCCCACGAGAGCCTGAACAGCCAAGTCTTCTCAGTCAGCGCATCCGCAGACCTGTAGATGCGTCTCCATCTCATCGCGCTCCCGCTGCACTGAGTCCAGTTGTCCTTCGAGAGCTGCCATCTGCTGCTGGACCTGGGACACCTCCTTTTGTAAGCGCGCCCGCTCCGCCTCCACGGACTTCTTGTCCCCTTGCACCTGGATCAGCTCTCGCCGCAGCTCCTTCACCTCCACGTCCAGCCTCTTCTTTGTGGCCTTGAGCTCGCTGGTGAGCTGGTCTCGGGAGGCAGCGTCGCGTCGGTAGGCCTCCATCATCACCTGCCAGGACAGAGCTGCAGCCAGGGCGGGTGGGGCCCCCAGTGGACACGCAACTTACACAGAAATGCTCACGGGCCCTGAATGGTGAGGCTCAGCGGGCTGGGTGTCACACCACAAACCAAGAGGCCACCGGCTGGATTCCCAGTCAGGACACATGTCTGGGTTGCGGGCCAGGTTCCCAACTGAGAGTGTGCAAGAGGCAACCAATTGATGCATATCTTGTACACTGATGTTTCTGTGCCTCTCTTTCTCCCTCCCTTCCCCTCTCTCTAAAAATAAATAAATAAAATCTTTTAAAAAACACTCATAGCTTGTCTGGGGCTAAATAAAGATAACACTTTGCCAAACTGAAGACACCGTCAACTGAGACACCCCCGTGATTCTGCTCCCTGACAAGCTGGCGAAGCACACAGCTGCTACGCCAGGTGCGGGCACCTCCAGCCTCCACCTCCCGGGAGTCTGGCCGTTCCCCCTCCAAGCCATGCTCCCAGCTGGCAGAGACGCCCACACCACTGGGGGCGTGCCCTCAGGGGCCAACCCTCCTCAGACCCTGCGCTGGCAACACTCTCTCATGCCCCCCACACGGATGGGCTTCACAAACCGATACACACCCTGGGTGCGCCCAGACTGATGTCAACGCTGGGTCAGTGTTGTTCTCCAAGCGTGCGTTAAACAGAAACTCAGCCTGTGCAGTGGTGACGCACCTTCTCTGCTGTGACCACAGGGCATGATGCGGCCGGACACCAGCCCCACTGTGGACACACCTGACTCTGGAGACTTTCTATGGGAGGGGGAGGGGCACCTCTTAGAGTCAAGAAGTGCCTTTAAAAACTGAAGGTGTCTAGACACTCGCTACCTTGCTCTTGATCAGTGCGACCTACTGATGTGATTAAACCACTTATAAGACTGTTTTCACACACTTGTTTCATGTAAAGAACACCAACAACTCAACTTTACCTTTTGTTGAAGAAACTGTTCTTTTATTTTCTGCGTCTGCTTTTTCAGAGAGGCAGTCTCTTCCTGAAGGTGCTCCACCTACGAGGGACATGTGCGCACTTTGGTCCCCGAGTCAGGGCAGGAAAGACAACTTCCCAGTGGGACAGGAATGCCACCCCACTTCCTACCCACTGTTTTAAAAATAATAACCTTAATCCAAGGTGCAGCCACCAGTGACCTGGTTAATAGCACCACAGGCAAAACGGAAGCATGAGCAATAATGCCTCATACCAACAACGGTCTCTTCCAGAGCTTTCCAACTATCCGCTGATGTCCCTCTTACTGACAGTAAAATCAAACTCCAATTTACTCAAAGAATCTGCACACGTGCTGTAACTCCGTCCCTGCTGGTTTGAAAATCTCCCTCCGCGTGCCCTAGGAAGTAACTTAGCTCCGTCATTGTCCGCAGAGAAAACACGGGCCTCCCTCAATCTTACTTCCCAAAAGGAAAATGCCATTGGTTTTTTGTCTTGTCCTGTTGCTTATGTAGTGGGACCTGAAGACAAAATTATTGTCTGACGCCCACTCTAGTTCTGCACATCCTGCGGCTTTCTTGTTTTGCCCATATTTTTAACATTTGTCTATGCCCAGCCGTGTTAGCTGTTTGCATCACAGCTCCCAGGTGTGGGTGCGAGGTGACATCCACACAACCAGACACTCAGGCCACCTGCCCACCTCGCCCGCTGACACCAGTCTGTCCCACTGCTGTGTGCTGTGGGTTCACTGCTCAGGCACACAGGAGGGAAAAGACAGAAGTTCCACACACTTTCCCTGCCTGAGCTCTACACATTCCGTGGACAGAAACTGTGTTTATTGGTAGATTACTTTCAAAGCCCAAACATAATTGTTTCCTGGCTCTTGGCCTGTACATGCCCAGTACCTAGAGGGCCGGAAGCCCACCACCAAGGGAATGGGTCCTCCCCCAGTGAAGCCCTGGCCTCAGCCTGGGTGTACTTTCACCTTTGTACAATGGGGTTTAAAGAAAGAGCCAAACCCTGAACATCGATGCTCACATGTGTGACTGTGACTTGTACAAAATGATGGTAAATGGCACTACCTGGCTGGACTTGACGGCTAATTCCTGTCTCAACTGCTCCAAAATTTCCGATGTCTCCTCAGCACCTTCCTCCAAGCGTCTGGCTCCTCCGTCAAGCTGCTCCCCACTGCTCCTGGCCGCCTGCAAAGCCACCTCCAAGACAATCTTCTCCTTCTGCAGGAAGCTGATGGTGTCATCCCTGGTGGTGGCCTCACTTTCTAGCTCTTCTAGCCGGGCCTGCAGCTCATTGTAGCGCTCCTGCAGGTCGCCAAGGGTCTGCTCCCGGCTCTGCAGTGTCTCCTGGGTCGAGGTGAACTGCTTCAGCAGGTCCAGGTGCTCCTGCTGCAAGGCCTCGAGCTGCTGGTCTCGCTGGTGGAGAGTCAACTTCACCTAGAAAAGGGACCAGATTCAGTGTGACCACCCACTCTGGAATTTTTACTGCTGCTCTGTTCAGGTTGAAGATAACCTGCATGGACATTTTGCAGTATTTTGTACATAAAAGTAAAGTCGGGTGTACAAGGACACTTGCAGAAGCAAGCACTTGGCCAGGTCTGCCATAGCAGCCAGGTCTGGTGGTGGAACACTGAAATGAATGTGATAGGTGGACCAGCACCAATGCACACAGCAAGGACAGCCACATGAGGCAGCTGTGTGTGGTCCAGGCATCTCAATGGGGCTGCAGCAGGGCCTTGCCTGCTCCAGCTGCTGCTCCAGGGCTACTGCCGAGGCCGCCACATTCTGCAGCTGCTCCTTCTCCTCCTCAAACTCCTCCAGCCTCCGCTGCAGGTCCTCCTCCACCATCGTCTTCGCCTCCTGAATCTGCACAAAGGCAGCTTCTTGGTCCAACATGTCAGCCTAGAACCGGAAGAGAGTGCATTTTAAAAAACAGGATAACCTGAGTGCCCCAGCAGAGTGAAAGGACACCCTCCCAGTGGTTAGGGTACTCAATCCACATCACTGTCTGCCCGTGACCTGTGAACGGAGGAGCCAACGGCCACTGGAGTGAAAGGCTGGTGACCTCTCACTGCCCACTGACAGGCTCTCTGCCTGCTCTCTGTCCACGGTCCTCCCCAGTGCTGACCCTCGGGCCTGGCTGGGAGGAGAAGCAAGCAGACAACTGTCTGAGGACCTGGGATAAAGTGACAAATGATATCTCACACTGCCTCTCACATGAAGATGGGCACCCTGGGGTGTGACACAGGGAACATCCTGTGTCACAGGATGATCCTGATACCACTTGGTAAAGCCAGAGACTGGGGTCGTGGGACAATATGGGAACGCTTACATCTGACTCTGTACATGAGACCCAATATCCAGGTGTGTTTCACAGGGAAAGTAACGTCAGTTTATAATTTAGAATTTTCCGGTTCTTTGAGGCTAGAGCCCATGAAGAGCACGTTTTTCACAATGTGACTCTCCCCTCATCCAGGTCACCTGTGAGGACAAAGGCCATGTGCAGAGAAGGAGGAGAAAGGAGCCACACCAGTGGCAGGACACCAGCCTTTGGGGTGACTGGAAGGCCAGTGACAAGACTGCCACGCCCCACCCCTGTGATGCTGCATGGCCTTTTCTCTGCCTGATTTCTCCCAACAATCCTAAGAAATAGGTACTATTTCTCTCATTTTATAAAAAGGGAACGAGGCCCTGGCTGGTGTGGCTCAGTGGATTGAGTGCCAGCCTGTGAAATGAAAGGTCATAGATTCGATTCCTAGTCAAGGCACATGCCTGGGCTGCAGGCCAGTTCCCCAGTAGGGGGCATGGGAGAGGTAGCTGATTGGTGTGTCTCTCACACATCAAAGTTTCTCTCCCTCTCTCCTTTCCTCCTCCTCTCTCTAAAAATAAATAAAAGTAAAAATAAAAACAGACTTTAAAAAAAAGAGAAGAGAACAAGGTTCTAAAAGGTCAAGAAATCGTCCAGGTGTCACAGCTTGAAAAAAGGACAGGTACTGGGTCCCAGACCAAGCTGCTGCGTCCCACCGCCCTGACCCTGACCCTGCACATACTGCTGGGCAGAAGAGTAACAAAGGCTGAGGGCAAGGAGACACTTGCTGCCACTGGGCTCTGCGAGGCTCTCAGACATGCACTGCACTGAACGCCTTCCTTCCCGCTCACTCTCTGCCCAGCACCACCCGCCACTGGGCTGTGTGCCAGGACCCAGACCCCCCACAGGCCAGAGGAGACGAGTATGAGAGAATGTGAGGAACTGAATCCCGACACCTAACCACTGTAGGCTGTTCAATACTTTAAAAGACATACAGCCCTGACTGGTGTGGCTCAGTGGATTGAGCATCGGCCTGTGATCCAAAGAGTCGCTGGTTTGATTCCCAGCCAGGGTACATGCTTGGGTTGCAGACAAGATCCCCACAGTGGGGGGTGTGCAAGAGGCAACCACACACTGCTGTTTCTCTCCTTCTCTTTCTCCCTCCCTTCCCCTTTCTGAAGATGAATAAACATATTTGAAAAAAAAAAAAAGAAAGAAATTAGTTCTCTTTCCCCTACATTCAAAACTACTCAACTTCTGAACATGACACATATTTCTTAAAAAAATAAAAGTAAAAAATAAAAGACATACAAATATATGTATATATTATTCATGTGTATGTACGTATTTGTATATTTCTTTAGCCTTGACCAGTGTCAAAAAAAGCCCAATTCAAAACAAAAAAAAACCCCAAAACAAAACCCTAGTGACAGGCAGCGGCCGTGGGATAGCCCGGCCCTCACCTCGATGCCCTGGAGCTGCAGGGCTATGCGCTCCTTCTCCTTGATGGACCTGTGCTGGGTCTCTGTCAGCTGCTGTGACAGGGACACGTTCTCCAGTTTCAGGTGCTCCAGGAGGCCTGTCTGGGTCATCTGTCCAACCTGCAAAGAAACACATGGCAGAGAGTTGCTAGATTTCAAGCACTAGATTACAAGTGCAGACCAGCCTGTGCCCTAGGCTGCCAGGGTGAGACCCTGCCCATTGGTGGCCCCTGAGGGGCCAGTTCCTGAGGAGCCACCACACAGGGCATCTGCCCACCCTCTTGCAGGACAACCTGACACTAGGGGCAATGGGCCCTGTGTGCCTAAGAGGGGCAGGCAGGCAGCCCAGGAGCTAGAGGTTACTCCTCTGAGAATGTGCAGTTTGTGGCAAGATTTATACCTAAGGTCCCACTGAAGGTTCATCCTGAGCCCCAAAGGTGAGGGGGCCTTACCTAGACGACAGGTGCAGCCAGGGCTGGAGATCTGCCCCATAGGTGAACTGACCAGCTGTGACGAGACACATTTCAGGCCCTGCCCTCTCCATGTCAGATTGTCCTGGGCACACCAGGTTGACCCTGTCCATTCCTGGGATCCAGCCCAGGGCCTGGCCCAGGCCATCAGCCAGGCCTCCTTTGACTACTGTCTCCTGGAGAAGCAGGCACCCAGCTTTGAACATGCCAGTGCCAGGGAAGGGGTCAGCAGACACAAGGGTCTGCAACTGGACCTTTGAGCACACCACTCCCAGCTCCAGTAACAAGGCTCCTAGAAGGACACGAGTCCCAGGGCCTCAGGGGAAGCCACTACAACAACAGGGACACCATTTGCGGGAACTGTGTCTGGAGACGACGACACGGTAAAGACCACCCTGACTATCCCCCCGCTGGACGGTCCTGGGAACAGGTCTAAGTGACTAGGAAAAGGGGGGAAATGCTGAACCTGGCTCCCAGAGGGATTTGAAAACAGCAATTACGTTTCTCAAACTGCCACTCCCGGAAATCTTCCTGTTTTTATCTTCCCAATTCCATTTCTGACTTTTGTCAGATACAAAAATCTGGCTTATTTAAATACTTTATGCTTCATTTAAATGAATGTACCATAGCTTCAAAATTACATTAACTTGTAAAATAATGTATTTTTAAGTTATGTTGTAAGCAGAACCAATGCTTGTCCATGTGGTCCTTTAGCTTAAATGTGTGACATAAATTTAGAGAGTTTCTACTTTGTACATACGTAGACTTTAGATGTTTAAAAAAGGAAAATTTGGTCAAGTTAGTATTTCACATTCTCTACCTGGGAAATAAACTTTTAATTAATGTAAATTATTTTATCTGGACCAAAAAAGGGGGAAGGGAACAAAATCCACAGTTAAATTCAAAAAGAAGCCTGAGGCTGATACAGGTGCCACCTGGCACCTTCGTGGTCAACCCGCTCAGTCGAGAGCCCTGAGGTCCAGAGCAAAGAGCAGTTCAGCCCGTGCCAGCTGTTCTGAGTCCTCCAGAGCAAGACATGGCTCAGAGGGCGCAACCCCAGCGTGACTGTGCACCTGTGCCAGCTCCCACGTGTGCCAGCAGTTCCCTAACACAATGAAAGGGAGGAGAACCTGGGGATCAAGCATCTTGAGAGGGAGAAGCTCTCGCTGGGAAGAGAAGGCATGCCTGCGCCCTGTGCATGTCACAAACAAGTCACAGGAGAGCAGAGACCGGGCGGACTCAGAGTTGAGAACTAGGTTCCCAGGACAGAAGTCACCCTCAGAGGACGACGCGTCCTAGCAGTCAGAACTGGGGACACAGTTCCAGAGAGGAGTATTTTAGGGTTAGACGTGCTGAAGCAGAGGTTGTGACACTCCCTGTGTCAGAAGGTCACGAAGACGCTTATGTACAGGGTGAGCATGGGCTACGTGACTGGTTAGCAGGTATTTTAAAAAACGCACCAGAGAAATCCAAAAAGCAGAAGTCTTTCTAATTTACAGAAGAGCAGTTGCTCCACACGGAACACGAAGTGTGAGCTGTCCAGCCCTGTTGGGGCCATACCTGGATGTGGGCCATCTCGCCCTGCAGTCTGACCCGGGCCTCCTGGGCCAATGCGAGCTGCTGCTGGTACCACTGCCTGACGCTCTGCAGAGACGCGATTTCTGCCTGGGATGCCTTCAGCCTGCTTGTGAGCGTCGTGCGCTCCAGCTGCACTTGCCTCAACTGGCTCTGTAAGGCTGTCATCTGCTGTCGTAGGTCATGCACTGGAAGCGAGAAAGCACAGTGCTCAGGCCAGCCCACAGTGGGAGCCCACAGCTGCACTTGGAGGTCCAGATCACGACAGCCTCCCCACAGAGCAGGGACCCAGCAGACTCCCAAAACACACGGCAGTGATGTTTAAAGTTGCAGTGCTGAGCCACGTCTCCTGGGGATGGGGTTAGGTTCCTGTCACAATACTTCATCACTTGGTCCTTGTCACATGTGTCTGTTTATGACACCCAGCATCGCCTACAGCGTTGATTCATCAGCACCAGACTCACAGAATGAGGCTCAACTAATACACGTTTACTCTACAAGACAGCGCAGCCTCCTTGCACTTAGGAACAAAACAGTGTTTCGGGTTCTTTTTAAATAGCAAACTACCCGAAAAAGCACAAAAATGCAAAAAACATGTCACTGAGCCTCCTGTGAGTGCAGGTCCATCCGCTGCCTGATGAGCTCTGGTCGGGTCAGGCCTTGCAACCCAGATTTATAAAATCATTTTTGAGTTCAGAACTTTTTGGATTTTATAATTTTCTTAAGGGACTGGGTACACAGAATGCTCAAAAAACTAAAAACAGTCTACCGTTTTGTTTTTCAGTTGTGCTGTATTTTTTTCTAGTTTCAAGATAAAACCTTTGTGACAGCAGTCCATCACTTTTTCTTTTATGTCATCAGACCTAAAACCTAGCGTCACACGCCTTACGGCCAAGACTCTGTGCTGACAGCAGCCCCACAGCCGCTTGGCCAGAAGAGGCTCATCTATCTCTGCAGCCTGTGCTGGAGGGGCTGAGGCCCGGCCGACGCTGAGGTGTCCTGAGCTGACAGCTAGTCCTCTTGGCAACTGGCTGAGTCTGGGGCCTCAACCCAGGTTCCCTGGACGCCAGTATTCCATGTCATTCTGCAGGGGATTCCCACAGGGACCCAGCCAGACCCACAGCTGAACTTAAGGTAGGCACAATAAAGGTTTACTAATCCACAACCTATTGTTTTTTTTTTACATATTTTAAATAAGACCTGTCATTCTGTGGAACAAGCAGGCAGCTCCGACAACTGACTCAGGGTCAGAGCCCACATCTGAGACCCAGGCCACCCTGACGCACATGCAGAAATTTACCAGAAATAATCCGCATTCAGAAAAGGAGGCCCTCATGTACAAATCAGAAGGCAGTACAACCCCCCAGCACATTCATATGGCAACAGGTCAGTGTCCAAAGCAGGCACCTGAGGTGCACCCCACTGCTGAGCCCAACCCGCAGACACCAGGTCGCACACGCACCTGTGCTGTCCTTGCTGAGCATGCTGCTCTGCATCTCCTCTACCTTGGCCAGGAGGCGCTGGTATTGCTGCTCGGCCACCTGCAGGTCTCGGTGGGAGGAGGCCAGGCTGGCGTTCTTGGCCTCCAGTGTGTTCTGCAGGTCGCTCATCGCCCGCTCCAGGTCCCAGCATGACTGCTTCAGAGTGTCCACCTCCGAAGTGAGCGCGTCCTGCTTCTGCTGGCTGCTGTGGCTGTGCTCCTCCTGCGCCTGCAGCCGCGTGTTCAGGGCTGCCAGCTGTGCCTGCAGCTCTGCCTTTTCTTTAAGTGCCTAGAAAGATCGCCAAAAGGCAACCCAGTCAGGAGATCCAGTCACCTCTACCTTGTGCATTAAGGAGGCTGCCACACCACCCAGTGAGACAAAGAAAGGTGCAGACAGGTGGGCTTTCCAGGAAAGCATTGATTTCCAAATTATCCAGCTGTCTGACACAACGGCCCCCCCAGAGGAGGTACACTATCCAGACAGCCAGGGGCAGGGGACCATGCACCTGCCTGTTTCCGCAGAGTGGTGCTGCACAGGCGCACCCTGAGAGGGCTGTGCAGCACCTGCTCACCTCTCAGCTCTCACATAGCATATTTGTTCAGAAACAAAAAGCTCACAAGCACCCCCCCAACACACACACACACACACACACACACACACACACAGTACCAGGAGCCCTGAGGGATCCTCAAAAGACAGAGAGCCAGGTTCAGCTCTGAGGAAATAAATCGTCAGGGAGAGGCTCCTACACAGGGACCCTGTAGGGCCAGCTGGGGCCTCGGGCAGCCTAAGGCACCATCCTGGGCTGGGTGGCAGGCCCTCAGAGACCACTGCCCACGGGATAAAGCAGGAGAGAGGAGAGCAGAGCCTTGAGAGCCCCAGGGAGAGCAGGGCACATCCACAGGAGCAAAGGGCATGAGCTCCACCATTTGGAAGTCAGCCTATCAGGTGTGCAGGGAACTCCTGAGTAGAAACTGATTTTTAGGAATATGCTAAGCAAATAAAGCAAAGTTCGTATCAGAAAAAGAACCCACAGCAAAAAGCATTCAAGGGGAAAGATGACAATTTTATCATGCCAGAAAAAAGTGAGGTCCAGCCAAATCAATCTGACTCTTAAGCATGGCTGGTTATCTGACATCAGGGTGAGCAAATACTGCAGGCTGACCCAGGCAGAGACGGCAGAGACATGGGAAATGCCAAAGGGAAGCTCACATGCCTCTGAGCGGACAGACCAGGCCAACAGGACGTAGGCACAAAGGTCTGGCTGCTGCTGCTGCTGTATTTGTAAGGACATGCGAGACTCTACCCAATGATCAGGAAGCACACAGGTAAGATGTTGCACCCCTTACCTGACTGGCCTCCTGGGATAAGGCTTCCAGCTGCCCTTCAAGTCTCATTTTTTCTTTAAGAACCTGCAACATCTCATCCTGAGTTTCAGCCACAGAACTTTCCATGGATACGCTGGAGGAAAAGGTACATGTAGTCAGGTGGTGAGAATACGAGTGATCATAACTTTTACACTCTCCAAACCTCACACATCCCTGCCGCTCTCCCGCAGTTGAAAATAAGTAAGGAAAACGATTCCAATGGAGAGCTGTCAGGAAACAACCCCACCACAGCCGGGCATCTTCAGTCCCCCTTGGCTGCAATCCCCATGTGGGGATGTGAGCCAAGGTGAGCTCCTGTGGGCTTTTGCAGGCAGGTCTAGGAAACGCTGGAGGAGAGAATGTCCTAGCATTGCAAACGATGACCAGATAGCTCTAGTTCCATTTCTAAAGATCAACGTGTATGTCGAGGAAATGGGAAGGACTGAGAAGTTAGGTGTTGCAGCCCCTGCCCGGGCGAGTGGGTCCTGCGTGGTGCCCACCTGCTGCAGATGCTGTCTGTCCGGCTCCGTGTCTCCCCATTGACCTCTGGTCCCTGGTCTCGGTGCTCAGCTGCCGCGGCCTGAAGGACATCCGCGATGGATGGGAACTGGCCCAGGGAACTGGCAGCAATCTCCTGGCCGTTGACCACATAGGAGGCTTCACGCATGCCGGCACGGTTCACAGGAAGGCGGTGCACGCCCCGGGTGGAGATGCCACTGCAGGAGGAGCTGTCGCTCTCATTCCCATCGGCCTCAGACGTGTTGTCTCCAGTCAGGGAGGAGTTCTCCAGGTCGTCGGCCTCAGGACACAGGCTGACCTCAGACACCACTGACGTCACGCTGCTTTGGCTCTGCTTCAGGGAGCCCCTGGTGGAGTCTGTGGCCAGAACATTTCCACCCGAACTCCCAGCATTTGACTCTTCAGTTCTATAATCAGCCAGGGACCGAATTTTGCTTGATTTGGAGCTTTTTTTCTCCTTAGGATGTGCCAGGAGCCCTAAGCTGCCTACCTTCGGCCCCCGAGGCACGCTGGTGCGCAGGAAAGAATATTCCTTTGTCATAGCCACGGTGCTGGCCCTTGGTAAGGTTTCTGGGTTCAACATGAGTTCAGGATCAAGTGTGCTGAAAGGTCTCATTTTAGTTGCAGGCTGGCTGGACTGAGAAGGAAATAAAAGCAGGAGCACGTTTGAACTTAGCAACAGCATTCAAGCTGTGCTGCCCACAAAGAGGCTGCACAGATGACAGCAACCCCTGCGTGTGTGCCGCCCCTGCCCAGCTCCGCCCCAGCACACTGTGCTCTGCAGCCTCACTGTCCCCGCGTCACATCCAGGGACCATCCAAGCACACTGTCAATGACTGCAACTTGATTACAATTAAAAACAGCTATTAGCCAGTCCTTCCTCATCACACCTCCTTTGCAATATTTTCCTGGCTGTTCTCCCATTTTTATACTTTTGGATAGACTTAAATTTTTTCTTCAAGTTATAAAAAGACGTTCTACTGAATTAGAACTACCTTATATTTGTAATTACTTAGCAGATAATGAGTAGTTTCCCTCCAGTTATTCAAAACTGCTTGCAGAGGAAGTTAGAGAGAGTTCTTCCAAATTCTGGCCACCTTTACTGCCATTTTAATGTGATGCTCAGATAGTTACCACTTTTCTTTTATTTTTTAAAGATTTTATTTATTTATTTTTAGAGTGGGAAGGGGGGGGAGAGAGAGAGAGAGAGAAACATCAATGTGCGGTTGCTGGGGGTTATAGCCTGCAACCCAGGCATGTACCCTGGCTGGGAATCGAACCTGCAACACTTTGGTTCGCAGCCCGCGCTCAATCCACTGAGCTACGCCAGCCGGGGCTGATAGTTACCACTTTTCTTATAAACATGACCTTTTCCCACTAATATTATAATTGGCCTTATTAGGATAACTATTGGTTTTTAATACTTGTATTTTTCAAACTTCTGAACCCTATTTTAATAATTTTATATTTTTATAAATTATAATTTTTGGTTGACTCTCTAAAGTTTTCCAAGGCATCGCCAACATGTGCAAACAACAAGCCACCTCCGCTCGGAGGCGAGGACTGGCTGGCTGCTCCAGCGCAGAAAGCAGTGACACCCATGCGCTGGCTTTCTTTGCTCTCCGAATGGCAGGTTCCAGGGTGGAATGCCCTTGTTTCGAGGGAAGAAGAACCAGACAGGGTGGGAACCAAGGCCCCGCCGGAAAACCCCTGCAGGGGGGAACCAATGAGAAAAATGGCCTTTCCAGAGCAGCACAGAGAAGTGAACCACAGACCCTAGCATGGCATCTGACTGACCGCGCCTGCTACACAGAAGCTCTCCATTAGCTTTTCCGAGAGTGGGACTCACTCGTTCCTGCTGCCGCTTCACCCTGTACTGTTTCAGCTGTTCCTCCAGCCGCTTCCGAGCCTGGAGTCGGACCTGCTCCTCCTTCTCCAGGGGCAGCGAAGCCTCTGCTGAGCCTGGGGTGGGGAAATGGACTCTTGGAAACTCATAAAGCACCAGGCACAAAGGACAAATCCCAACAGCAGCTGTGCTGGCTTGCATTTCATTACCGACATGATTTAGCTTCTAAACAACTCATGCCATCTAGTTTGAAAGGCCTACTTCCAGAAGGAAAGAAACTGAGCCCCAGACACTGGCCACAGATGGGACCCATGTGGCAGAAGACACCCTGGCCATGCCTGGGGCCTGGGCTCCACACAGCATCCAGCGGGTACAACAGGACACGGCAACTTGCCCCTAAGTAATGAACTGAACTCCAAGTTGGTGCTCGTGGGGAGCCCTCCGCAAGCTCTAACTCGGATCTCTGAGGTGACAGAGGGACCAGAGGAGAACAGTCCTGATGGAATGACACCCAGTCACAAGGTGTGCCACACCAAGCATGCTTGCTTTATGCAGTTATATCTGGAGATAGGATTTGATCCACAGCTTACCTAAGTTCCCACAAAAATGACTCATGTTATATGAGGTCAGTAACAGAATTGAAAGTATCTAAACCCAAACCTTTTCCTTTAGATAATCAAGGGGAACAGTGAGTGCAACAGTACAAGTTGCAGGTTTCCCTCACATACAGCAAACATGCACGCTGGGGGATATGCTGATGAGAGCAGGTAAATGTCCTGATTTAAGCACTTCCTAAGCAACGCCACCCTCAGAGGTGGAGTCCCAGACAACAGGCAGTTGCTGTTTTAAATAACCCCTAACAAACACCTGAGCACCAGAATTCCAAGAATTTCACTAGGAATTCACCAACGTCATTACTAATTGGTGCGTTTATCAGACCTCTAGTACTCTTTTTGAGGCTTGAGTGGTCTGAAATGCAGAAACCCAGTGGCCAGTGGCTGCATGCAGGGCACCCGGACCTGCAGGTTCCGCAACAGAGACACAGCCCGAGAGTCAGGGTCATGAGTGAACACTCCCCAGGAAGGGCAGCAGATCCCTGCCACATGGGCACCTCACGGGCACCTCGTGGGCATCTGGCACATGCCGGAGAGCAGGAACCAGACTTTTATGTGACGTCTCTTCGCTTAACTGTTGACAATGAGTTTACAGAAAATTTAAAACACACTATGGCCTTAAACAAAAATAATGCCTGTGAAGAAAAAGGCAAACAATCCTAAAGAAAAATGGGCCAAACATATGAACAGACATTTCACAGAAAGGAATGACCAAATGGCCAACAGAGAACAAGATGCTCAAACCCTCCCGCAACCAGAGAAGGGCAAGTTTCAAGTGAAACAATCAGTGCTGATACGCCCACCAGACCAGTAAAAACTGAACAGAAAGTGTCTGGGTGCGGGAGGGCTGGGCGACAGTGTGCTCTCACGGGTCCTTAGTGGCAGTCACATGACCACACATGACAGAATAAATAAAAACGCCCGTTGCCTTGGACCAAGAAGCTGTCTCTGGGGGGCAGCCCTAGAAGCTGCGGCAGTGATGCTGCAGGCGTGAAGACGAGACACATGTGGCAGGGGATGCACAGCCGTGTCCACGCAACAGTGAAGGGGTGAGTGAGAAAAACCTCCAACAGTGGGAGCAACACAATCCCATAGAAAAAAGCAGGGACCCCAAACCCAGCAGTTGACAAAGGTCTATGGAGGGTCAAGAGAATGTGGCCGACCAGGATGGGGAGTGGTAAGAGCCCCCCCCGCCCCAACCCCCGGTGTGTGACATGGCCCACTGTGCACAATTCTAGGTCTGGGTGTGAGAAAGTCAGTGGCAGACCACAGTCTGAAGGTTTCCTGGTTTGTAGGCCAGTGCTCAATCCACTGAACCATACCAGCCAGGGCTTGGTCTGGACGTTTCTTGGGCTCACAGGCTGCCAGTTTGTGACTTGGCCATCCCAGAGTCCCAGGATCAGCACAAAATCAACGGTGATAAAGACAATTCACAAGAGAAAGTTTCCGAAGTGTTACTGTTGAGATGCATTTCCCACAGGCTGCTGCTCCCCATCCCAGATGACAAAAGTCACATACTGGCCCTTTAAATCTGGAACACCAACACCAATACCAGACCACGAGGATGTGTACTTTCCCTCTAAAATGGAGCCATCTGATAAACGCACAGTCCACCATGCTGACGAAGCAAAATGCCTGTGAAGGCGGCGGCGGCTGGCACACGGGGGAGGGCAGGGAGGGGAGGCCGGGGGTGGGATGCTTACACAGTTGCGTTTCTTGCATAGGAAGACTGAGTCTGAGAGACTGCAAAGCTTCTTTTCTAACACTGCCCTCAGCACTAGTCCCCTGAGACTTCGTTAGGTTGTCATGGAAATCAGCCACACCTGGAGGGGCATCAGGACCCACTGGGCTTGCGGGGGGACCGACAGCCCATGGTGAGCCTGGGAGCTGTGGCGTTGGCCCATTCTGACAGGCGTCCCCCTTGCTGGGCATGTCTAGGCTTCCTCCTTCATCCACAGCTCTGTTCGCCTCAACGTTGGCACCTGGAAGAGAGGGCAAGCTGGGCCATCATGTTGTTCTGCAGATGTGCAGCTGAAACAGGACGAGAGAGAATCTAGAGATGTGAGCACGAGCAGTCCGCACACCCTACGTCGGTTCACTCCAGGAGGAGAGCAGGCCCTGGTCCCCTCACCATGGGCGGGAACACGGAACGGGCCACTCAGCCACTCAGAGCCCGCCATCCCCATCTGTGGAATGCCTTCACCTTTGCATTTGGGATGAAGAATTTAGGATTGTTTCCTTTTTATTTAAATACGACCAATGGGAAATCTTGTGAAAGCCTGTATTAATGAAACAGAAAAAGAAAACAAATGCTTAAAACATAGCTGACCGTGTTTCTAACAGGGATCAGGAACTGCAGGGCTAATCAGAGCCATAGCCTCACAGTCATTTTCACAGTCATTTCAAAGTATAAATTCATCCTCCAAAATGAGAAATCTAAGGCAAAGAGGTGGATTAGCTGATCAGAATGATTTCAGCAATGTTGAGCCCCGAGTGTGTGCTTCTGCTTGACAAACACCTGTCTAGTAAAAGCCCAAGATTTATCCAATGATGACCCATCAAGCTCAGTTTTACCCACTGATACATTACACACACACTTGTTCGTACATTAGCTTAAAAACTCTTTCCTTATCGAAAGGAAGAAAGACTTTATATACTCCAGTGACTGTTAGTCTTCTCCCTGCCCCTCACACTGGGGGGTGAGCTAGTCAGAGGTTGAAGAACCAGGGTGGTGTGTGGAGGAAGGGAGGGACCCATAACACCCTCTTTTGCCCAAGTAAATTTAAAATGGGGTTCTATCACTTGAAATGTGAGTCCCAACTAACACAGTGACTTACGGTCATGCCTCTCTAAAAGGAAAACCAGAATAAAAAATGTGCCACAGACACAAAGCAGAACCAGGGGGCTGCCCTCAGCCCTGAAACTGTGTCTGCTCCCACACAAACCACCCTGTAGCTCTGCTGTATGTGTCGGGGGGTGGGGGTGGGAGGGGAGTCCTGCATTTCAGATATAAGACAATCAGGTTAATACCACTTTCTGATGAGTTTACAGGTCTGGGAGAGTCTCACAAACCTTACTGCTTATAAAATAAAGTAATTTTTGAGCATCATATTGCACTTTAAAAATATCTAAAAGTGAGAAGGCCCAATAAACAAGACTTTGTTTCCAAACACAGACCTAACTATGGATAAACAAGTAACGATGATGATGATGCCTCCCGAGTGCCTGTGTCTGTTTCACGTGGGCCACTTCCTCCAGCCCCACGATGGCCTCGAGAGGTAGGCTCCACTCATCTTCTGCTTCACACAATGGGACAGTGAACCCGAGGTAAACTGCAGACCCTCTGCAAGGCTCACTGCTCTCCGTGGTGGATCTAAGGGCTGCCTCCCCATCTGCCCCGCTCTGGGATTCTCCGTCTTGGGCCCACGCTCTCACCGGCCTCACCGGGCACTTAAGCGCAGTAGCCAACAAAACCATTTTAGGTGCTTGAACACCATTTTGAAGAACCAGGATGCAATTTCCACTAGTAAATCAGCACACACACACTTTTTGCAAGCACACACTACACTAAGTGTCATGACCAGGAAGGGGCATGAGGACTCAGTGAATTAACCATCAGCTAACACACAAATATGATCTGATAATCCTTCGACCACTACTAGACCATTCTGGCTCCCAGTTAGTAAAATTCTGGCAGCCAACCAATCAGAGAGGTGAGACACTAAGCCAGGAACAGTGACGTGTAGGAAAGACCCACAGAAACTTCAGGGAAATCATCACGGCTGCTCTGCTGGGGCAAAGAGTGGGGCAGTTCCTATTCTATTTAAACACAGGCCGTTGATTTACAGTTGGAGTTAACTAAGAAAAGACACTCATCTGATCACTACAACACACTTCGAATGAAAAGTTAGCTGTCGTCTTAAACACCACAGTCCGCCTCCGAGATGCCAGCCAATGCCCATCCCTGTTCAGAGACAACGCGTCGTGTCGGCAGCACGCAGAGAGCCCGGTGACTCACGCTGGGCTTCGTCCCACTGGTCCGGAGGCGCCTGCGGGCCCAGGGGCTTCGGGAGGGCGCCAGGGAGGGTTGAGGTGCCACTGTGGGATCCATCCTCCAAGAGGCCACCCTGCACAGCTGACGCTCCATCCATGGTCAGGACGACTCAGACTGGGTGACACCCAGGGGCTGCACGGGGGCTGCGGGCAGGCACAATCTCTGCCATCACCAACAGTTGGGGTCCCCTTGGAAGGACGGCACTAGGTTTTCCATTTTGAAGACATTTAAAGTCTCATAAATGGCTTGAAATCAAACCGAGGAATATCATGATACCTGCCAGGAGGGAAAACAGAAAGTATTATGAAACTTCACTAGCAGATTTGAACTAACAATTCCAAGATTAACATTTGCTTCTCCGTTTGCATCAGTACAACAAACAAATGCAGATACCAATGTGGCTGAGTAGGTGGGGCAAAGTTGCCCCGAAAAGCAAGAGGTCACCAGTTCAATTCCCAGTCAGGGAACAGGCCTGGGCTGTGGGTTCAGTCCCTAATTGGGGTGCCTACCAGAGGCAACTGATCAATGTTTCGCTCTCACATCAATTTTCCTTTCCCTCTTTCTCCATCCCTTCCCCTCTCTAAAAATGAATGAATAAAATCTTTAAAAAAATCATTGCAGTATCCTAGGTTTTAAGGATAAAATGCTGAGCCAGTCACACCCAAGCCTGTTCCTGAAGGTGCTTATTGTCATTATTGGTGATGGCCAAAGACCGTCCTGCCATGGCAGAGAAGCTCCCTCAATTGGCAATGTGTTTTCACAGGTGGCCACTGAGGGGGGTCCAGGAACTGAGGAACTGAGTTTTTTGTTTATTTAAACTACCATATTTTGCCATGTATAATGTGCACTGTTTTGCCAAATATTTAAAGAAAAAATAAGGATGCACATTATACATGGGTAGTACTAATTCATATCTAAATGTCTTCAACTCTTGTATTTAGGCTTATGTGTTAAAAGTAGAATTCTAGAAAGCAACATCCAGGTGCAAAATAATACCCTGGAATGTGATCGTTGATTTTGTTTCTAAATAAATAAAAAATTGAATTAAAAAATTAAAATGAAAGATTCTTTTTCCTGGAAGTTTAGGCCAAAAACACAGGTGTGCATTATACACAGCAAAATACGGCACTCTGAGTGTACACAGCCACCGGGGGCCGGGACTTCTGTGTAAACACTCAGAGGGCTCCCCTCCTCGGAGACCTGGCACGAAGGTGCTGAGGCCACTGTTCAGGACCAGCTGCGGGCACAAGGTCGCAGGGCACTGAGCTGGGGAAGCACAGGAGTCGAGGCCACCGCGGAGTGGGGGCAGAGAGAGCATCTTACAGGAGGTGACCAGTCCACCTTGCATTTCCAGCAGCGTCAGTGCCCTTGAGCCCATCCTGCAATGCTAAGTTTAAGGGAGCAAAACTGCCCAGTTTGGCAACTGGTTTTGGCTTGTGAACTGGCTGAGGAAGATATTATCACCTTGTTTCCTCGTCAACAAATAAGGTGTTATTAGCTGTTACTCTTTCTATGGGAATGTTGGCATTTAGTTCCTTTAAAATATTATCCTATGCACTGTTCTAGGTTTCACATGTTTCAGGATAAAATTGTGCACAACTTCCTCTCCAGCTTACAAATCCCACTGATGTTGGGCTACAAGCCAGGCAGTGGTCCTCACCAGGGGGGCTGACATAGGTGAGCCTGCTCTGCCAGGTGCAGTGCCTCTGAACACTTCTTCACCCAGTCCGTGAACAGGCATTCTCAGGGGTCGCATCACCTGCTGCACCCATGCAGTGAATGACTAGTAGTGGGAGTGTCCCTCTGGGTGAACCTGGGGTGTGGAGGGAGGGGGCTGACTTGAAGCTCCAAATACCCACACATTCCTCCCTGCTGTCCTACACCCTGCAGGCCAAAGACACCGTGCGTTAGTGCTATTAACAATACAGGGTGTGGCAAACAAAGGTTTACAGTTGTAAGTACACAAAACAGTTTATTCTTGTATTATTATTTATTTTTTAAAAGATTTCATTTGTTTATTTTTAGAGAGCATAGAAGGGAAGGATAGAGAGAGAGAGACAAACATTACTGTGCGGTTGCCTCTTGAGTGACCCCTTCTGGCGACCTGACCTACAACCCAGGCATGTGCCCTGACTGGGAATCAAACCGGTGACTCTTTGGTTTGCAGGCCCACACTCAATCCACTGAGATACACCAGCCAGGGCTTGTATTATTATTTATTAATTACTGTATTATTTTCCATATAAACAGCTACAAGCCTACTTTTGCCCCACCATGTATAAAAGCTTATATCTACTACTAAGCATAAAACTAGCACTGAAAGGATTTGTACTGGAAAGAACTGTTGATAGAAATGTGTGCAAACATGAACTATAATCCACTGTAGCTCATCAAAGGGCACTGGGCTCCAGCCCAAAAGAATCAGAGAAAGAAGGGGAGGTGCTGAGGCTGGAGAAAACGTGATCCTGCAAGCAGTGAGTTCTCAAACTCATTCTTGTGTCTTCAGTAACCAGTAACCTCTTTCACCCCCAGACTTTCCAGGTGGGGTGTGTGTGGGGAGGCAAACAGGCCCTTGGAAGCTCCACTGAACTTGCAAGCCCCACAGACCCTCCCTGAAAATCACCGATTCCCATGGTCCCAGCTCCAGAGAAAACCATTGCAATGCCCACCAAGCCTGCTCCGCAGCCCCACTCCCAGGGACTCCCTGGGGTGGCTGCTGGTACACTGGTCAGGCCAGGATGAGATGCTACAGAGGAGAGCCAACAAAGCCAGGCAAGGCACGCCAGCACAGGATAGCCGGCTGCCCCCTCATCACAGGGACAGATGATGACAGACAATATGTAAGAACCAGTATGGAATCCGTGCTCACAGCATGTGGCATACTGTACGTGTTGGCCACCCCCACAAGTTCCCTAACAAGAGAAAATGTTTGGATTTGCTCTGAAACGTGGGTGAAGATGTCCACATCACCACCATGCTCCCCACAACACAAGACAGGGTACCAGCGAGATCTCAGTGTTTTTCAGGCAGAAGCTGGTCCCTCTACTGTGGCACCCTTTACCCTACATCGCCAACCAAATCCCCAAATTCTTTCTATGTACCATCAGGTGCTGCTCTGAAGACTCTCTGGGGCCTCAGATACAGCACCTGGCCTGGCCTACTCCCTTCTGCCATCAGGAACCCCCTTTGTGCACATCACAGTACACCTGTGCATGTGCCCGTCTCCTCCATCGCCCTGTGAGGTCCTTGGAAGCAGAAACACCACCCCAAGTCTGCCCTGACATCCCTACTTAAGAGCTGGTGCCCAAGGCAGGCTGCTCACTTAAATCTTTAGCTCCACTGAGTTCCACCCCTCAGAGACCAAGCTAGCAGTTCCCCGCAAAAACGATTCAGTGTCTGCATCTGTGAGGATCAACACTGCCTTTCCGAATGCAGAAAAACTCTAGTCCTACTAAAAACACAAAGACAAATGTGCCAGCTCTCGCAGCCTGATGCCATCACATACTCCACTCCTTTAATTCCCTTTATTGGGTTTCTTGGTAAACAAGAAACCTTTTGATTCCCAAGTAGTTCTACTCCCTAAGAATGTGAGGCCCTGAGACCATGAATGGCTGTGGTTCCCCATGAGGATGGCTTCTGGTCACGCGCAGCCTCTGCCCCTGCAGCCGGACAAGAGGCAGGACTCATCGCCTGCTCATAGCAGCGCACCCGCCTGCCAGGGAGGGACTGGCAGTCCCGGCCTGCCCTTGGCCTTGTTGGAGTTTTACTTGTCCTGAGTTTTAATTCATCGTTTATGGCCTCATGACCTCCGACTGCTGACCAAACCAGGACAAGGAAGAGGGTCAGGCAGCTAGGAAGCTGTTATTAGTAACATGCACCCCATTCTGTAATTTTTAAAAAAATAAAGAGATCAGTCTTATCACAGTTCCATTTTTGGCTACCTGCACTCTGTGTTTCCTAGAGGGAAGACACAGGGCAAAGCTCTCCCCTAGAACTGCGCAGCGCGTTCCTGACTCCAGGTTCAGCCCCGCCTGGCGACAAGGGACCTCATGCTGAGCAAGCACTGTGTCAGGCACCTGTGTGACTCCCAGCTTCCCCCACATGGCAGACTACACGAATTCAGCATCTACACGCACCCCACCTCATCTCCGTTGTTACTGTTGGCAATCAGAAACAACACAGCACGGCCAAAGATAAAACAGAATTTTCTTAAGAAGATAATGTCCTCTGCTGAGGCCACACTAGTGACTGAAAGTAAACAGAGACCGGCACACAGAGTGAACCCTGGGGAGCCTCCTGCACAGGCTCCGGCGGAGACATCTGGGCTTCAAACCCCAACCTGCCACCACAGCTGTCAGGGCATGGGCACACTGCTGAACCACCCTCGTGAGTAAGATGAGAAAACAATGTAAAATTTTCGCCAGGATTAAATGCAATATGGCACAGGGTCTGTCCCATGCCCTCAAAAAAATGGTTGCTATTACCATTAATGTTATTTCCTTTCCATTATTGCCTGTCAAAATTTATAGGCATAAACCAACTGAATATATCCTTTCTCACTTAAAATATACTGCTGTTTAAGGCAATCAGCAAAAAAAAAAAAAAAAAGTCTAACTGATGTCAGATGATTTTTATTTCTTTTTATCACTCTCCAAGGCAGACTGTCACTGAGAGCTCACTCCCATAAAGGGTCACGTTTGCAATATAAAAGGGACAATTAAAAAATTTAACCCCATGAATCACTTAAACCCATGAGTCAACTGTGTATCATTTACAATGTCCCACTGTGGCTTTCAATCATAATGACAATAAAATCCAAGCCTCTCGTCATAAACTAGAGAGCTGCACCCAAGTAGCCCCTCCCTCCGCTACATCCTCGTTCCTGTCACTTTCCTTCTTTCTCATGACGCCTTAGCCACTCGTCTGCACCTAAGGACACCAAACCGACTCCTCCCTCAGGGTCGTCACACTTGCGTTCCCTCTGCCAGAAACGCGCTTATTCCACAGCTTCGCGCGGCCAGCTTCCCGTCATAGAGACGTTGGCTCCAAAGTCACCTCCCAGACCCTCCCTAGCACCAGACCCTACTCTCGGCAATTCCCTCACTGGCTGTCCCTGTCTCTCCACGACAATGTGAGCTTGCTGAGGGCAAGGTCCCGTGTCCCAGGACCTAAAGTGAACAATGCCTGGCACGAGGCTGACACTCAACAAGCACCTGCAGCAAGTCTGAGCTGCGCACCTCTCCATGCTGGTGTCAATGCCTGGCCCAAATCGCTCCGGAACGTGTCACCTCTCCAGAGAAACAGCTCTAAGCACAGGGGGAAAAAACAGAATCCGGGTGGAGGGAGAGGCAAAGGGCCACACAGAGTCTTTCAACCTGGTCTCACACTAACCATGTCACACCATGTCACGTCTGTCCTACGGACCGCAAGTCTGCAGATGGGCTCCGGCGCTGCCTGAGGTTCCTAAGCAGCTCCCAGAGCAGCTGCGGGCACCTCTGCCACAAATCACGCCCCGTCACGCGCAAACAGAGTGCCAAGGGCTCAAAAGGAAAAACATGCACGAAGCCAGTTCCTCCGGCATCTGCACAGGCTGGCTTCCGGGCCCCGAGGCTACCGCGGGGCAGGCGCGGGGCGTCGCCGCCTTCAGAGGGAACGCGGCCTGCCCTCGGGGTCCGCCCAGGCCCTTCCGCCCCTTTCCCGGCCTCCACCCCAACCGCGCCGCGGACCTGGCGTCCACGCGCCCTTCCCGGCGAGTCGCTGCCAGGAAGCTTCCCGCGACCCTCACCCCAGAGCTCAGGAACCGCAGCAGCAGCACTGACCAGTGGCTCCAGCGGCGACGTGGCCGCGCCAGGGGCGGGGCGGGGCGGGGCGCATCGACTGCTTCGGCCCCCCTAGGAAACACCCTGTGCTCGCTGCCTTCGTTCCGGAAGAGAAGATGACCTTTTCTCTCCAGCAGGTGCCCTCAGGCCGGGGATTCTCCGGCAGCAGGGCCAGCATCCAGACCACTCACAACTGGCTCGAAACAATGTCATAAAATGAGTGGGCGGCTCTTCCCCGTGTAGAAATGCAGCTTCCTGACTCGCAAGACCTCCTCAATAAAGCCGGACAACTGAGCTTCCGGCGGAAGTGGCGCTCCAGGACTCTGACCCCGCCCCATCTGTCAGGTTGTGGGCGTGGCCACCCTCCGTTGCCTGTAGGCCCATTGGGGGCGTACTTAGAAGGTGCGGGGGCGGGACATCGGGCCCGTTCACACCCAAAACCTTCCAGCGCGCTAAAGCAAAAGTGACTGAGGCTTTGGAGCCACAGCAACGTTTTACCTTTTTTTTTTTTTTAAAGTTGTTGGGCCCTAGCTGGTGTGGCTCAGTGAAATGAGCACTGGCCTGCGAACGAAAGGCTCGCTGGTTGGATTCCCAGTCAGGGCACAAGCCTGGGTTGGCCAGATCCCCAGTAGGGGCATGTAAGAGGTACACTGAAGTTGTACCTCTTAGACAGAGGGGAAGAGAGGGTACACTCTCCCTCTCTTCCCCTCTGTCTAAACATAAATAAAATCTTTAAAAAAAAAACTGGTAACATAAAAAATGTTGGCATAAAGCTTGAGGTTTAGGTTTTTTTCTTTTTTCTTTGCCTGTAGATATCAAGTTGTTACAGCATCCTTACTGAAAAGACCTCCCTCCACTTACTTGCTTTGGCACATTTGTCAAACACCAGTCGGCTGCTTGGCAGAGACTTTGGGTCTGTTTCCGGAGTCTCTGCTGTGCCATCTCCTTGCCTATCCCAGGAGCTTTGCAAAAAGCTGTATTATCCAGCAGAGAATTCCTCCCACTTCATCATCTTTCCTCATTGTTCTAGCTATTCTGGCGTCCATGCCAGTCCATATAAATTTTACAACAAACTTGTCTGTAAAAATTTTTTCTGGGCCCTGACTGATATGGCTCTGTTGCTTGGATCTTGTCCCACAAAGGGAAAAGTTGCCAGTTTGATTCCCAGTCAGGGCCTGTGCCCAGCTTGTGGTTTTGGTCACAGTCAGGGCACATAGGAAAAGCAACCTCACAGTGATGTCTCTTTCCCTCCGTTCCCTTCTCTCTAAAAATACATAAAATATTTTTTGAAAGAAAAATCCCCCCTGGGATTTTGATGGGAATTAGAATAGCACTATAGATAGATTTGGGGAAAATTAACATCTTTACTATGTGGAGTCTTTCAAGTCATGAACACTCAATGCCTCTCTATATTAGGTCTTCTTTGGTTTCTTAGACATGCTACCAAAAGCCACTTATCTCTGCTGCATCCAGTTTTGCTGACTTTCCAAGGGATAGGAAAGAAAGGCAAGTAACAGAAGCAAAAGCAAACTTGTCACACAGACATAACACCGACTATGGCATGCCCAAGGGAGGGCTGGAAAGTTTTTGCCAGGATACAGAACTTCCTGTGGAGATGGAGCCGGTCTATTGTCAGCTTTTAAGTGCTCTACTGTTTCCATCTCACAGAAGAAATAGGTTCACTGAGGCTGAAACAATCCAAGTGAGACAGGAAAGAGCCAGATTTGGCTGCACTCCACCTGCACCAAGGATGGTGGGCCTAATTCTGCAGGGAGCTATGAATCCCACCAAGGAGAATGTCTAGGATCCTCTGTGTTCCCACCCATGCATGGCTGGTGCTTGCAAGGGGAGTTGCCAAGACCTGGCCAGTGCTTTATTGAGGCTCCCACCAGGGTCAGGCCTGGACAACTGAGGCTTCTGGGACTGGGGTGGTCTCGGTTCTCTTGGTGGCAACACTTGATACTCGACATTCATCTTCCTCTTGCCTGGGACTGCCCCTGAACTGCCCCACCTGCCTGTGGGTGCTGGTGGCTGGGAAGTACAATGGGCTCAGGGCTGGCCCGTCAGCGATGATGCCAAAGACAGGCTTTCATGTGAATGAGGGGGAAATACCAGATCACCTGCTTCTGCCTGATGGGAGGGGAGGGTCCCAGTACTGTGTTTAGGTCCCTGTGTCCAGCCAAGTTAGGCCCACTCTGGGCTTTCTAAGTCCAGTTGATTCTCATCTCTTGCTTCCTTCCTGGTGTGGGCTTCCTGGTGGCCACCATAGCAGCAATCCTAACTGACCCAGAACCTGGGCATTTCTGGGCCTCATCCGGGCAGCACATGTGCTAATCTGGCTGCACGACTCCTGCTGGAAAAGTCCAACTTAGCCTGTCCTGGTTCGGGCACTTGCCTGAAGCAAAACCCACTGATGCAATCTGCTCCTCTCAGGTCTGGGTCTGTGATTCCCATTCTGTTAGCGCTGATGTATTAGAATGATTCGCTTGGCCAACAAGGCCCGTATAGGATTGACCACTCACATTGGAGCTTGGACTGCAGACCAGGAGGGGTTCAAATGTAGCCTCTTGGAGGGGGAACAGTGGTGGTGGTGTGGGCAGGGCTGACCCCATCATTGGTAACCCAAAAGGGACTTGGGTCTGGGGACAGGCTGAGAGGCTGAAGGACTCAGCTGCACCTGTGCTGGGCTGAAGGGGCCAGAGAGCACGTGGGAATCTCCCCTGCATAAGCCAGGCACACTCGGTACAGGCAGGGCTCCAGCCCAACGGTGGGCTGGTGGGAGGGTGGGAGGGTGCTGAGGAAGAGGAAGTACAGAAAAATCACAAAAACATGGCGTGACGCACACCCACCCAGCTCTGTAGAATAGCTGCCCTGGTTCCAGGGTTCTGCCCTAGACTTACAGCTGACAGCTACTCTTAGCCTGTGCACTCATTAGAAATGGGGAGCCCGAGTTCCACTGGGGTCAGCCCACACCACGGGCCCCCCAGTGTGATGTGGCACACACCTTTCCCTTCACGGATGGATTCAGCAAAGTGTGAGGAGTTCCATGTTATTTAAATGTAGGCAAAAAAAAAAAAAAAAAAAAAGCTGGTACATCCTCCAAGGGACTGCACCTTTGTTCTCACTTTTGGGGAGAGGTGGGGTGGGCTGAAAGGGTGATGAGCCAACATCTTAAGGTGTGGAGGGCAGGCCTCACTCCTGCACAAGCAGAGCCTGAGGCTTGGACACAAAGCTGTGGCTTCAGAGTGGACCGACAGGCTGTGGCTCCCTCAGGCTGGCGGATCCAAGAGACCTTGCACCTTTTCATGGGTGCTCAGACCTGGGGCCCAAGCCAGGGTCACTTGTGCCTGAGAGCTAACTCAGCAGAATCTCCTTAGTATTAACTAGACATGTCTACAGCCATCTGTCCTTGTGATGGGAAGGGTCACATCGTAACCAATACATGAACAAAGATGCAGGAGAGAGAAACAGACACGGCTTGTTTATTAGAATTCAGGAAGGAGGCCTTCTCTCACAAACAGGTGCTGCTTCTCAGTCTGTATCAAGAGCAAGACAACAGTTTAAAATCGTATTCCTGAGAAGAAGCAAAAAAGTTACAATTTTGCAAACAAAATTAACAGGTGATTTTAATAAAAGATAAAAAATATTTTTTCTTTTACAAAGAACAAAATTTCAAGTATTATTCCAGATGACAGCAAACTCAATGCAGGAGGAAAGGGCAAGGACTAGTGGAAGCCAAGGCCCCTGGAGCTCTTGGTGGGAAGGGGCTGCTCTGGGGGGTCAAGATGCCAGTAGGGCTGACCTGCACGTGCACCTTGGCTGCCCATGGCCAGGGCCCCGCAAGAGGGAATAAAGAACTTGGGGACAGTGGGTGGGGCCTGCAGCTATGCAGACAGAGGAGCAGCAGGGCCAGCTCTTTGCTTGCAGGCTCAGGGTGGTGGCGCCCCAACCTCCCCAGGCCTGGGAGGGGCCACACACTCAGTGTCGGTGTCCAGAGCTAGCAGTTCCAGACACCCGATGATGTTTTTATTAATAAACGGAAACATACATTTGTTTTTTTCAAATACTGTACTATTCCTAATATTAGTCAATTTGTAAATTATAAATTATATTATTTGTGCTACAATTTGTGGTATTTAAATCTTATTAAAAGATAAGCATCAACCCTATTAAAATAAAAGCTCATAAGAGCTGTGGCTTTCCCTGCGGGGCACTGCAAAGCCTGTGGGCTGTAAACGTTTTTCTTAAAGAACAGAATGTTTCTGACAAACTTTCCTTTTTCTCCCATGAAACTTTTCTTGGAAAGAGATGTGCATTTCAACCACAGCTGTGGGAAAGGTACAAAGAGCAAACCTGCAGGCCACCATCTCAGGAGGAGGAGGAGGGGATAGCTGCTGGCTGTTCTGGCTGAAGAGCTTCAGGTGGCCCCAAGCTCAAAGGATGGAAGTGCACGCCCTGGACCCCAGGCTGTTGCTGGGGCCTCAATGAGAGGGTCTCCTCCACAGAACAAAAAGTCACACCAGAGTGCTGGATGCAGAGACCCCCAGCGTGCCCTGAGGGAGTATAAAATGCCCTACAATGTTCATATTTAGTTCTTCCTGAAACACGCTGTCACTGACCCTTGTGCTCCCAAGCCACCTTGGTGCCTCCTCAGATGCTTAGTTCTTGAACCTCGTCTGTTCACAGATATGATTGAATTTCCTGCAGGGAGAAAGCAGTCAAATTACACACGAGAGCAAACATTTAACACCACCGAAGAAACTCAGAGGTGCAAGGGAGAGGTGAACATTTCTATGCAAGTGTTTCACAAAATGAGGTAACAGGAGAGTAGAGTTCCTAAATGGCAACACCACTTTGTAGACTGCATGTTTAGAGTAGTATATTTGTAAGTTGGCTAGTCCACAAACATCCCTAAAAGCTGAGATGTCAACTGGGACGCAACACTTGGAAAATCCCATGAGAAGAACAAGGGTCAACCCCTGTCCCAGCCTCTAGGACCTGAGAGGACATACCCCGCCCGGCACAGTACAGCGTCACTCACATTGCATGGTGGGCCTTCACCTGAGTGCGGCAGTTTCGACCCCAGTAGCAGTCAGGACGGGAAGTTACAGCCACTAGAAAGAGAAAAACATCACAATGTATAGTGTGTACACCATACTCACATACTCAGGTCAGGGAGTTTACCCAAGACCCAGAGACACTGCAGCTGAAATGCACTACACTTTGCCCTGCTTTACAACAATTTTCCTTCCACTGTTCCAGGAAAGATAAAAACGTTTAATTGAAAA